TCTTAACGATCTTTAGAACAGAAATGTGTGTTTCATTTCATTCTCGATCGAGAGAGGTTATACGTGGTTGGGGTATGTAATTGCTAAACTTTGTCTTGGACAAATTTGTCTCCACTACTGCGTCATATTTCCATCTTGTTGCTTTTCCAATTTCATTGACAAAAATATATTTAATATTATATATAATATAAATTTGAGTCTAGATTATATGAAAAAAGTTCCTATATATTAAAAGTCCATACGTTGCAGAAAACGCACCATGTTTATCATTGACAGTCTCAGGGCACCAAACACGTGAATAGACTCCAAAACATCTTCGTTCACCTTTTCATGATTCGAGATTCGTTCCCGTGGTTCTTCGAGGCAATTCTTCAGTGGAGGCCGCCACCCTCGATGGCAGCTGTTGTCATACCCGTACCAATTGCATTGCGCGCAGCGAAATCCATCCCTCTGAAGCAGCGATGCGCCATCGCCTTGGTGATCCTCCCGACCTCCACTCCCACCGCTAGGTGTGCCTGGGCCTGGTTTTGACGCTCCAATCGAGTCTTATTGCTTGCCGATCATTGGAGCAATCGACTGGAAGTCGAGGGACTTGGAGGAAGGAGCAAGGGCAGATTCAGACATTTTATATCAAGGCTTGGACAATTTATATTTTATTGCTGGAACTCATGCAATGCCATGCAGCATCGCACGATACAGAAAACACGTCATCAGTGTCTTTATTCTTGTTTCCAGACCCTTGGCACTGCAGAACGATGAAATCAAAGGCAATTACGATGCTGATTCTTAACTTGGCCTTACCCCGTGAAACTAGAGGTTTCAGTTGCGCCAGCAGCGATTGTTGCGCCAGCTCCAACCCCTCTGGCAACGGTGGCAACTGTTGTCATACCAATACCACCCCGACTGGCAGCGCTGGGCAGCAGCCTTTGCGATTCCTCCCACGTCCACGCCCATGGCCAGCATCGTCACAAATATGGCGAGTGCCAAAAACAACACGAAGAAAGCCTTGTTCTCCATGCTTTGCTGCTTGTTCTATTAGAGAGAAGTGGTTTGATCTGTGAGGCAGGAGGGGCTCATATTTATAGCTCGAGCCAGCACACAATGCTAGAGAGAGTTGTCGTGGGACGGCATTGCGTAGTCCTTATCTAATTTGGTTCCGTGTTTGAGAATTTCTTCTCGTTTCTATAATATCTCTCCAACCCTTCAAATGAGGATCACAAATCGCCATGCTAGTTGAATATGGGACGGTTGAGATCATGTTAGATCGACGGCTTCGATTAATTAATACGACAGCCAAGATTTTACACACTGTACGGCTCAAATTGGTCCAGAAAGTTTTAAATGCACGGTCTAGATTGTACAAGAATGACTACTATTCTTCTATTTGTACGAAAATACCATTCGTTTACCGTACACATTAAGTACTTAGCTTTCAGACACTTTAATGCCCTAAGAAAGGGGAAGTAAGCAAGCGCGAGTGTTCTCTGGTAAGCAAGCGAGTTTGAGCTGAAATACTGCGACTTTCTCTGGTAAGCTTGATCTCTGACTATGGCTCGCAAAATCTCCACGCCACCGCCCCCGCCGCCTCATCGGGAGCACGCGAGGAGGACGCCGCCGCCCAAACCATCGCCAAAGAGGGCACCGACAACTTCATCTCCGCCACCAAAGAGGTCTCCACCGGCGCCAGCCAAGAGGCACACAGAGGGACATCACTCACCAGCAAAGCCACCACCGAGTTCTCCTGAGCATCATGGAGCTGGACATCCACCACCGAGCTCTCCTGAGCATCATGGAGCTGGACATCCACCGCCGAGCTCTCCGCCCACCAAGGAACATCCAGCAGCAGAGCCAAACAGGCACCATGGACATCGACGAGCTGGTGATGGAGCTGCTACAGGGCCGCCACCTTCTTCTTCGCCGCCCAACAAGGCCGACACTGTAACCTGGCGACCAAGGAGGGCCGGGCCGTCATCGCCACCACCTTCGAGCATAATGTGGAACCCAAGGTCGCCATCGCCACCACCTTCAAGCATAACGTGGAACCCAAGGCCGCCATCGCCACCACCTTCGAGCATAACGTGGCAACCAAGGCCCCTTGGCTTGGACACCTCTCCGCCTACGGCGTCGTCAGCACCATCTTCAGCAGCAGCAGCAGCTGCAGCTGCATTCGTGGCATCACCTGGTGTGCTCGCGGCAGGCATCGTTATGCTCCTGCTCGCACTGGTAGCTATCGTCACTGGAGTCTGGATACTCTTGAAGAGGAGAAGGAACAAGGTGCACGACCACGACGACATCCTGGTGGAGTATGGCCATCAGCCTAGCGGTGGCAACAGCGGCAGCAGCAGCAACCAGCGGGAGCACCTCATTACCAAAGTGGAGCCTCGACCATCATCGCAGTTGAATGCCGGCAGGAAGAAGGCGGCTGCTGACCCCCTAATTCGCGAGCTCCTGAGGCCACCAAGGCGGCTGCCACCGTCTGCTCTTCCCGCTGGTGCTCGCCACAAGTCTGCATCCGGAAACGATCCACTCTTTCGTGCTGCTGATCCAGTGCATGGCCAGCAGGGAAGCCGGGGAAACGTCATGATGGAGGATCCTCTCGTCGTCTTTCCTGCGTATGAAGTTGACGAGCAGCCAAGGCTGTTCTCAGCCACTCCGGAGGATGATCCACTCTTCTCGACTGGTGGCTACTCTCATCATCCAGCAGGCGAGAAAATGGCTGCAAACGAGCTCCCAGTGTGCATATCATCCCGATGCGACCGGGTTCCAGAGCAGTTTCATGGCCGGGAACAAGGACGAAAGGTGGCGGATCGTTCTGGCACCGTGTTCGATCCTGGAGATGTCGCAGCACTGGCAAAGAAGCGGGCTGAGATGGAGAAACAGATGCAGAAGTTCATCATGATGGAGCCCCGCATCCGGCCTTTTTTCCACAGGTTAGTAGTTTCTGCACTTGAGCTGACTGATGAAGCTGAATCGATCAGGAAGCGCGATGTGGAGAACAGCCCCGAGATCACGAGCGACGAGAACCTCGTCCGGAAGTTGACAGCCAATGATCCCAAGCGGGTCAAGAGTGATTTGGAGGTGGAGCCATCTGCTCCGGGGCACGCTTCTCTGACAGGTGAAAACGCCGACCAGGTACGAGCCTTTCTGTATCCTGGTGAATTCTTCCACCTCCGAGAGAGACAGGGAACTTGACGAGGTACGTTTCTTCAAAGGCAATCTCTATAGATGCTACTCTTTGATTGCAGGCACTGCAAGAGACAAAACATAAGAACAAGTGAAAAACAAATAGAATGAAGAGCGAAAGCTCGTCATTTATCTGGCTTTCTCTTCAGTCCCTTCTATGTGCTTGAGTAAGTCACAGGAAGGTCTTCCTGGCCTTTCATCGGGGTACAAAAGTTTAGGAGGAGCCATCGATCATCGATATACAATATCCAGGATGATCACAAACTGATTTTGTTAATTTTTATTCTGTTTTTATGAAATCTAAACTATCGATTCTTGAGTCGGTGATAATATTATTGCACTAATAGATATTAGACAACACCAGCATTCGTACGGTGGTTTTCTCATGCAACTGAAATCAAATTTCACGGTGGTTTTGGTCGCGGAATGGCCATTTTGATGCGGTGTTTGTCATCGATGATGTTCTCCCTCGCGTGACTCCCAGATTGTAGGAAGAGCCAAAGGGATGTACATTCCACCAACACCAACATCACAACCGGTTTGTTCTTGACATTCGTGGCTGTGTTCAAGGATGGGACGATGAGCATGCGCAGGCAACAGCATATTTTTTGAGCTCTCTATGACATGATCCTAGGTGGCAGTAGTGCCACCTCACTGTCTCTTGTATTCTAGCTATCCTTGAGTCATCCTTGCCCATTGTAGCTTTTGCATATCTCTTCAATCTTCAATGAAGATTGCAATAATTGCAGGCATTTTCGGCAATCTTGCTATTTAGTGTTAACTGATCATGTCAAAATTGAACGAGCCAAAAATGTATCTGTATCTCCGAAGTCCCTCTTCTAGCTCAAACTCAAAGTTTGATAGAACCAAGTCAGTAAAGAACTCTGGAGCATAATATTAGGAGTATATTACGCTGCAAGAATAGTGGTAAATTCTACATCGTCTCTTCTCACTGGGAGGCTGTTGACAATCTTTTGGGCAATCCAGCACCCAAACAGGTTGATCATGCAGCAGTAGTGATCCGTGACAGGACCAGAAAGTGGTCTATGCTTCAGCCATCCAATGGGAGGTATTGCCCGTTTAAAATTAATTAATTAATTATTATTTTCTGATATTAAATCTTGTTAAAGTTATAAATATTTGCAGACTATCCTCCTCTCTATTGCCATTATTTCGAGCTTTTGGGTTATATTATTATCATATAACTTTCTAAAGTTTCCTTAATCTTAGATTTGCAGGAAGTAATCTCTATTCGTGGTATTTAATAATTTTTTTTAGCTTTACCAATTTTTACTGTCGTTTCATTCTCATTTGCTGCCTAAAAGTTTTCCCAAAACCTTTAAAATTTTATTGTAGTTTTATTATTAAGCTCCTGGTTTTAGTACTGTTAAAGATCATACTTTTAATACTTAAAAGCCATTCCAGCATTCATTTAAGTAGTGTCTATTCTGTGATTTTTAGTTTGAATACAAACCATATTTATAAGCTGGTAGAAATTTAAATAGATAAGGCTGAATGTCAAATACCTTGCAGGAATTATTCTCATCCAATGAGCCTAACCCTATCTCTTAACCTAGAGAGGACTGCCATGGAATGCAGAAATAGAGTGGAAAAATCCACAGGTCAAACATTATAAACTACTTTGTGGCTTGATTATCATCAGCAGGGATGAAGGATGCTTTCTTCATGGAAGAAATCATTTACTTAAGCAAAGAACCAGTAAAGATTCGATTTCAAATAAAGAATTTAGGGTTCTTCCGGGGCTTCGATCGACGGGGCACACGTCGCTTGCCCCCGGCGCGGGCGATCGCGTCGCAATGCAGTTCGCCAGCGGCAGCAGCGCTGCGAGCAGTCCCAGATTCAACGTCCCGTTTCGAGAGATCAGGCTGCCAACGCCGAATCGGGGTCCCTCTTCTTGCTTTCGAACCACTGTTCGAAGCAAAGCTCGCAGGATCGTACGTATGGCCGCTGATTTCTTCTATCTTTGCCTTATTTGAGAATCTCCTCTCTCATTGGGATCGTTCCTTTAGTTCCTGCTTTGCTTTATCCTTCGTTAGTGAATTTCTTTTCCTTTTTTCTTTTCTTCTTCCTTCAAGCAAAAGCTGGGTGTTGATGGAAGTTGCTTGTGATCGAAGTATTATGGCCTGCGACCAGGTTTAGCTCATGAAAAAAAAAAAAACAGAGAGAAGAAATCATAAGATAGAAATTTCTCACCTGCATTTGCCAACTTTTCTCTGTGGTTTTTCAGGTCCAGACTTCCATAACCAATGAAATCCACGCTGCCGAGTATGAATTCCCAGACGAGGCTTTGCCAACCGACTCCGGCTATCTCCCCATTGACGAGTCGAGCGAGTCTCGCCTCTTTTACGTTTACTACGAAGCAAGCAAGCCAGACACCGAGCTGGAAATCTCACCGATTATGGTGTGGCTCAACGGCGGACCCGGTTGCTCCAGCTTAATCGGTTGCTTCTACGAGCTCGGCCCATGGATTGTCCAAGAGAACTTCAGCTTGCAAAAAAATCCAGGAGCGTGGAACCGAAGGTATTGTAGATTTTTGTTTTCGAAGTGGCTGAAAGTTTCGTTTTGAACACCTTTTTCCTTCCAGGTGTGGGATTTTGTTTGTAGACAATCCAATTGGGACTGGCTTCAGTATTGCAACGTCGGAGCTCGAGGTTCCAAGGTGCCAGGAAACGGTAGCTCTTCATTTGCACAACGCGCTGTCGACTTTCATGGAGCAAAAGAGCTTTACAAAGCGTCCATTGGTTCTTGCTGGAGAGAGCTACGCGGGGAAGTACTTGCCGGCTCTCGCTCACCATATTCTGACCAGGAAGAACGGGAATGGTCTGAGCTCTCAGCTCTCTGGAGTTGCCATTGGAAACGGGTTGATACATCCAAGAACACAGGTATGAAAAAGCTAATATGCTTTGAAACGTTTTCTTCCTCTCTCACTCTTTTCGGCTTTCGGCCTTGCAGGTGCAAATGCACGCCGAAGTTGCCTTTTGTTTTGGGCTTTTAGACAAGCAGCAAAGCCAATACGTTCAAGAGCTCGCTCGAGAAGTCGTCGAGCTTATTGATAGGTTGAAAGAATTTTTCTTTTGGTTTGTGTTTCATATCCCCTCTGAGCTGAACTTTTTTATTCAGGGAAGATTGGTTAGCTGCACACGACCAGAGAACTTACCTTTGCAAGTGGATTGAAACAACGAGCGGCATTCCGACGCTTTTGGATGTAAGACGCTCCTCGAGATACCATCGCCGAGAGGTAAAAAATCACAGGATTTCCTGTCCCAGTTTCGAGATTATAAAACTTGGACGCAGGATGGAACCGACTATCTGGCAGAGTTTCTGAATCTACCGCACGTAAGAACGAGCCTCAAAGTGGATCCGACCGCTCTAAACTTCGCGTGCTGCCGTAAATCGGTGAAACTTCTCATGGCAGAGGTAAGTTCTCCAAGAAGAAACAGAGACAAACATGGAATGGCTTTGCAGGACACCATGAAGAGCACGAAGTGGATGCTGGAGACGGTCCTAAAGAAGGGGCTGCCAGTGCTGCTCTACCAGGGAGTTTACGATGCCAAGGACGGTGCCGCATCCTCGGAAGCTTGGATGCGCTCCCTCAACTGGGAATACGTAGACAGGTTTTGGAAATCGCCCAGAGAGATCTGGAAAGTCATGGGAGACAAAGCGGGCTACTGGAGGCAAGGCCGGAATCTCACACACGTTGTCATCGCTGGAGCCGGACATGAGGTAGGAGTGGCAAGAACTTTACTTGATCTTTGCGATCTTCGCAAGAAAAAGAGGATTTTTTTCTCACAGAAAATGTGGTCCAATTCGCAGGTTCCAGCGGATCAACCAGTGTGCTCTCGCGCCATGATAGAAACATGGATGGCCGGATTAGCGTGCTGGAAAGCAAAGTTATAGCGCAAATGTCTTGTTTTGAAATTTAAGGACGCGGGGTTATTTACAGTGGGGCTTTATCAAGGACACCGGCTAGGGTTTTAGGATCTAGAAGTTTCGCCGTAGGGTTTTAGAGATTTTGAGCTAGGGTTCTTCGTCGTTGTTGTCTCGGTCGCTCCTCGCCTGCCAAGGATGTTCCGCGCAGTCGCTTCGAGCCTGAGGTAAATGATCGTGTCGTAGATTGCTGTTCTTAGCGGCGCTGACGCTCTTGCCTTTTGTTCGAGGATTTCAGGAGGCATGGCCGACTTCAGGTAAAAAGTTTTGGCGCTGTGGGGTTTTGTGGCGCTGATTGTGGAGGCATTGCAGGAGGTGAGCAGGGCGCAATGGGTGAGGAGATACTCCGCCAAGGAAATCAAGTTTGGAGTGGAGGCTAGGGCTCTTATGCTCCAGGGCGTGGAGCAGCTCGCTGATGCCGTCAAAGTAACCATGGGTCCCAAGGTATTCTATCCATCGCCTTTTTCCAATGAACAACAAACTAAGATCGCTCTTTTTCTTTTTCCCTTTGCAGGGGCGAAACGTTGTGATCGATCAAGGCTTTGGTTCTCCCAAGGTTACCAAGGATGGTGTGACTGTTGCCAAGAGCATCGACTTCAAGGACAAGCTGAAGAACGTTGGTGCTAGCCTCGTGAAACAAGTCGCCAACGCTACCAACGATGTGGCAGGAGATGGTACTTCTTCCTCTAGTTTCTTTCTTTTCTCTTTTCTTAACTGTATCTGGTGTGTAGGAACTACTTGCGCAACTGTGCTTGCTCGCGCAATTTTTGCAGAGGGTTGTAAGTCTGTGGCGGCTGGAATGAATGCCATGGACTTGCGCCGTGGTATCAGCTCCGCTGTGGAATCCGTGGTGGAAAATCTGAAGAGCAAGGCGAAGATGATCAGCACATCAGAGGAGATTGCTCAGGTCTGAGCAGCCTTTTCTGTATTGAGTTTTATGCTTACGTTACTTTTTCGGTGCGTGCAGGTCGGTACCATTTCGGCAAATGGTGACAGGGAAATCGGTGACCTGATTGCTAGAGCCATGGAGAAGGTCGGCAAAGATGGTGTCATCACAGTATCGGTAAGCTGGGTCATTTATGGTTTTTATCGACAAACTTCTGACGAGAGAAACAACAGGATGGCAAGACCTTGCACAACGAGCTAGAGGTTGTGGAGGGTATGAAGTTGGACAGGGGATACATTTCCCCCTATTTCATTAACAACGCTAAGACACAGAAATGCGTAATGTCCTCGTTTGCTTGTGTATTACTAGCGTAACAAGTGCTTCTGTGCAGGAACTTGAAAATCCAGTTATTCTGATTCACGACAAGAAGATCTCTACTGTCAGTGCCATCATGCCTGTTTTGGAGCTTGTCGTGAAGGTAGGCTGTTACGATGTGTGATAGGAAGAAAGCTTACGTTAAATGCAGGAACAAAGACCACTTCTCATTGTGGCAGAGGACGTTGACGGCGAGGCTCTGGCAACTCTGATTGTCAACAAACTCCGAGGTGGTTTTAAGGTACGCAATCCTCTCAAAAGACAATTTCACTGACGATAAATATACAGTGCTGCGCCATCAAAGCCCCTGGATTTGGAGACAACAGAAAATCGTGTCTGCAGGATCTTGCCGTGCTCACGGGCGGTCAGGTAGAGATCGTTTATGGCTTGCAGCGTGATGAATCCTTGAATGTCTTCTGTTTAGCTTGTCAGCGAAGATGTAGGTATCAAGCTTGAGAAGGTTGATCGTTCCATGCTTGGTTCAGCAAAGAAGGTTAGCAACTATTTCGTTTTATGTTCTTGCAACTCCTCTCTGACATGGAAGAGATGATAGGTTACAATCTCGAAAGACGACAGCATTGTCCTGGATGGCCTTGGCGATAAGAAGGAAATCGAGGAGAGATGCGAACAGGTAACGCACTTAGCTCAGAGGGAAGAGATACCTGACGCCGTTATTGCAGATCAGAGAAGCTGTGAAGTCTAGCACATCAGACTATGACAAGGAAAAGCTCCAAGAAAGGCTGGCCAAGCTCTCTGGAGGTGTAGCCGTCTTGAAGGTATGTACACCAAAGACTTTTGTGGCAGCGTTTTTATTATTGTTTCGCGCGCGAGCGTAGATTGGAGGAGGTAGTGAAGCGGAAGTCGGTGAAAAGAAGGATCGGGTGACCGATGCGCTGAATGCTACAAAGGCTGCAGTGGAGGAGGGAATCGTGCCAGGTAATTGATTCGCTCTCGTAAACGTTTTTCCCGACTGACACGCACGGTCTTTGAAGGTGGTGGAGTCGCTCTTCTCTACGCGTCTCGCGATCTTGACAAGCTGGAGACGCCCAACTTCGACCAGAAAGTGGGAGTCCAAATCATCCAGAGCGCTCTAAAGGTACGGCGCGGTGACACTTTTTTAGTTGCTTTTGCGTGGCCACTACAATGTTCTCTTTCTGATAGATGCCCACGTATACAATTGCTGCCAACGCCGGAGTGGAGGGAGCGGTCGTTGTAGGCAAGCTATGGGAGCAGAATGACTACAACTTGGGCTACGACGCGGCGAAAGGTGCGACGAGGCGAAACCTGGCTTTGTGAAAGAATCTGACGATCGTTCTTGGTTTGTGCCAGGTGAATACGTAGACATGGTAAAGGCCGGGATTATTGACCCCGTGAAGGTGTTGAGAACTGCTCTGGGTGACGCCGCCAGGTAAGAAGAGAAGAAACGAGCGTGAGGATCGCTCACAAATTCTTTTATATTGCAGTGTTTCTTCGTTGCTGACAACAACAGAGGCTGTGGTGTATGATCTTCCAAAGGAGGAGAAGGCCGCGGCTGGAGGAGGCATGGGTGGGCATGATTTGGATTACTAGGAGACCACTTCTTTCCGTTAGAAAAGAGGGAATAACCAACACAGATTTTAAGAGACCAAGGACGAAAGAGAGGAGAGTTTTAGGAGACAACGTTTGCAATTTTGATTATAGTTTAATAGCCCGCCTTTATCCCGTGTTGGCACGACTCAGTCTAGGATAGTGGTCTCTTGGAAGTTTCTTTGGTTGTTTCGTGATCACAGCCTAGGGGTCAAAGATCGCATCTATATAATGGACGCTAGTCCAGAAGAGCTCTGCAGTTCCAGATCGTGTTTTCGTTCTTCAAAGAGTTTCAGATTTCATCCAGAAAATCTCTCAGAGTTCCAATCCAGAAAAGCTCATCACTCGAAGTGTTCCAGGAGATAGTTCCAGATTTCTGGTAGTCGTTTTTCGATCATCAACAAGAAGTTCCAAGATGTTTGGCGAGGGGCTGCTTGTTCTTGGGGCGATCCAAGCTCTGCTCGTCTTCGTGACGCTGCTCTCTTCCAGTCTCCTCCCCTTGCCCCAGAGCCTCCAGCACCGATACAAGATGCTCGATCATTCCAAGTCTCTCAAGCCCTCCTTGTCCAGGGTCATGTCCAGCGCAGGACTTCCTCAGCTCTTCAGCCCCCGGTCCAAGCGATTCGCTCAAGAGGACATGTAAAAAGCATAGAATCCTAGCGTTTGAAGCTCTCTAGATTTATTCTCTGTTTTTGGTTCACCTCACAACACGAAAAAGCAAAGTTGAAAGAGTAAATTGCTCCCAGGCTTTCATTCTTTCCATACAAAACTTGATGTTACTCTGGTTTCTAAAAGCTTGGCTCAGTACATTGGTGTTGTCTCAGACCAGCCAGTCGCGGCCGGAGTGCTCTCCCATCCAGCAGCCGCAACTGGAGCAGCGGCCGCGTCCCAACCTGGTGCGTTTGCAAAGTTTTAGAGCACAAACTGACTAGCAACAAAACCAAAGAAAAGCAAAGAAAGTTGCGAACCTTGTGCGGCAGCAGGGGGAGGAGCTGCTGCAGCCCATTCTGGAGCAGCGACAGTAGCAGCAGTAGCAGGATCAACAGGAACAGCTGCGGGTGCAGCGGTCGCTTCCCAGGTAGCCTCTGCGGCAGCACCGTCCCAGGCCGCCTCCGGCACGGACGCGGTCGAGTAAGGCAGTGGCGCAGTCGAAAACTCGTTGTACTCCTGCGGAACAATCGCGGCTTCCTCGCCCTCCCGGTCCTTGGTCTCATCGGGCTCCCGGTAGAAAAACAAGTCCACCTACGAAAGGAATAGCCAAACAAGTGTGTAAGTTACAGCAAAAACCACGAGCACGAACAAGTGTAGGTGACAGCGAAAAAACCACCAGCAAGAACAAGAGATGAGCGAAGAAAATAGATCTTACCATGACATCCCACTTCTGGCTGGGAGCGATGGTGCCGCGCATCTGGAGCACCATCCGAGCGAGCATCCAAAACAAGCACCCAATGCTGTGCTTCCCCTTGTTGTTGGCCGGGATAGCAATGTCCACGTACTTCATGGGCGAGTCCGTGTCGCAGAAGGCGATCACAGGGATGTTTCCAAGCGCGGCCTCCTTAATCGGCTGGAAGAACACACACACACAAAACAAAAGAAGGAAACCAATGAGGAAAAAAGTCGTGCTAGATCGAGCGAGCAAACTTACCTGGTGATCTGTGCGCGGATCCGTGAGAATGAGGAGGCGAGGCTCCGAGAAGGAGTTCTGGAGCTGATTGGTGAAAGTTCCAGGGGTGTGCCTCCCGGCGATGGCCTGCGCGCCAGTGTACTGCGCAAACTTGAGCACCGCGCGCTGCCCGTAAGGCCTGGCCGACTGCACGATGATATCGTGGGGGTTCTCGATGCCCACAATCACGCGGGCCGCGAGCTGGAGCTTCTCCCACGTCTTCCCGACATTGATGATGAAGATGCCTGTGGCACCACAAAGCTAAGATCGCGAGAAGCGACTAGGATCTTACCGTCGGAGCGGCGCTTCCAGACGTAGCGCTCCATCTGGAAATCGCAGTTCTTGGTGCCCAGATGCACTGCCGAGGCCAGCATCATCTGGATGTCGGCTTCCTTCGGCGAGAGCGCCATTTCGCTGGAGACCTCAACCCTAGCGGCTGGTTTAGGGTTGTAGGGATTAAGGCGAACTCTGTGGGCCGCCGGATCTGGCCAATCGGCACCGTCGGATGGAAGGTAACCTGAAAAAGTTTATACATCCTTGTTTAACCCTCTTTGGAGAGGGTTTCAGACGTTTTCTTAGAAATCAATACGCTATTTTCCTTGAAGGCGTGATATAGTCTCGTAAAGGAATACACCACACAATGCAATCAGTTCTCATCTTTGGCAGCTCTTACGTTGCTGGTGGCAATAGTTGTTTGTTATTTCTGATACTAATTCCTTTCCAAGGAAGCTTGTCTCACGATGAATCCTGGCCGAAGTCCTTCCTTCTTTCTTGCTTTCATTATTGTCCAAAAGAAAAGAAGTTCATGGAGTGCTTTCCTTTGCTCTTGCTCCTAGCGGTCTCTCTGGCTTTTGGTTTCACGCATGCAACTCAAATCGAAGGGCTGGAGCTCTACTTCCACGACAAGGTCGATCTAACCAATCCCAGCAATTCCACTGTGGCTGTGTTCAAGGATGGGACGATGAGCATGCACGGGCAAGACAGTATCTTTGATAAAGTTCGAGAGGTTGCGGTGATTGGCAGCACCGGAGCTTACAGATTTGCGTCAGGGTACGACCTAGAAGCTCATTCCACCGTTTTCGGCAATCTTGGCTTTTACAAGAACTGATCTTGTCAAAATTGGAGGAGCTTAATAAAAATGCTTCTTCAAGATGCTACGTTTTTAAGAGTTCCTCCAGTTTTTAGTGTGACTCATTTTAATAACACTAAGGTGGGGAATTTGTTTGTTGTTTCTGGCGTTGTTAATATCTATTAGTGCAATAATATAGTTTAGATTTCATATGAAAATCAACAAAAAAAACTGTGATCATCCTGGCTAATTGTATATCGATGATTGATGCCTCCTCCTAAACTTTGGTACCCCGATGAAATGCGAGGAAGGTACGAGGACCTTCCTGTGACTCAAGCCCCTAGAAGAGAAACCCAGATAACTGACGAGCTTTCGCTCTTCATTCTATTGGTTTTTCAGTTGCTCTATGCCTCCCACAGTGCCTGCAATTAAAGAGTAGCATCTATACAAATTGACTTCGGAAAAACGTACCTCGTCAAATTCCCTGTCTCTCTCAGAGGTGGAAGAATTCACACTCGTACCTGATCAGCGTTTTCACCCGTCAGAGAAGCGTGCCCCGGAGCAGCAAAGAGAGATGGCTCCACCTCCAAATCACTCTTGACCCGCTCGGTATCATTGCCTGTCAACTTCTGGACGAGGTTCTTGTCGCTCGTCATCTCGGGGCTGTTCTCCACATCGCGCTTCCTGATCGATTCAGCTTCATCATGTCAGCTCAAGTGCAGAGACTACTAACCTGTGGGGAAAAGGCCGGATGCGGGGCTCCATCATGATGAACTTCTGCATTTGTTTCTCCATCTCAGCCCGCTTCTTTGCCAGTGCTACGACATCTCCAGGATCGAACACGGTGCCAGAACGATCCGCCATCTTTCGTCCTTGTTCCCGGCCATGAAACTGCTCTAGAACCCGGTCGCGTCGAGATGATATGCGCACTGGGAGCTCGTTTGCAGCCATTTTCTTGCCTGCTGGATGATGAGAGTAGCCACCAGTCGAGAAGAGTGGATCATCCTCCGGAGTGGCTGAGAACAGCCTTGGCTGCTGGTCAACTTCATTTGCAGGAAAGACGACGAGAGGATCCTCCATCATCACGTTTCCCCGGCTTCCCTGCTGGCCATGCACTGGATCAGCAGCACGAAAGAGTGGATCGTTTCCGGATGCAGACTTGTGGCGAGCACCAGCGGGAAGAGCAGACGGTGGCAGCCGCCTTGGTGGCCTCAGGAGCTCGCGAATTAGGGGGTCAGCAGCCGCCTTCTTCCTGCCGGTATTCAACTGCGATGATGGTCGAGGCTCCACTTTGGTAATGAGGTGCTCCCGCTGGTTGCTGCTGCTGCCGCTGTTGCCACCGCTAGGCTGATGGCCATACTCCACCAGGATGTCGTCGTGGTCGTGCACCTTGTTCCTTCTCCTCTTCAAGAGTATCCAGACTCCAGTGACGATAGCTACCAGTGCGAGCAGGAGCATAACGATGCCTGCCGCGAGCACACCAGGTGATGCCACGAATGCAGCTGCAGCTGCTGCTGCTGCTGAAGATGGTGCTGACGACGCCGTAGGCGGAGAGGTGTCCAAGCCAAGGGGCCTTGGTTGCCACGTTATGGTCGAAGGTGGTGGCGATGGCGGCCTTGGGTTCCACGTTATGGTCGAAGGTGGTGGCGATGGTGCCCTTGGGTTCCACGTTATGCTCGAAGGTGGTGGCGATGATGGCCCGGCCCTCCTTGGTCGCCAGGTTACAGTGTCGGCCTTGTTGGGCGGCGAAGAAGAAGGTGGCGCTCCATCATCAGCTCGTCGATGTCCATGGTGCCTCTTTGGCTCTGCTGCTCGATGTTCCTTGGTGGGCGGAGAGCTCGGTGGTGGATGTCCAGCTCCATGATGCTCAGGAGAACTCGGTGGTGGCTTTGCTGGTGAGTGATATCCCTCTGTGGGATTTGCTGGTGAGTGACTGTGCCTCTTGGCTGGCGCCGGTGGAGACCTCTTTGGTGGCGGAGATGAAGTTGTCGGCGCCCTCTTTGGCGATGGTTTGGGCGGCGGCGTCCTCCTCGTGTGCTCCTGGTGAGGCGGGCGAGCCATAGTTAGAGATGAAGCTTACCAGAGAGAGTCGCAGTATTTCAGCTCAAGCTCGCTTGCTTACCAGAGTCTTGTACGTATGATGTGTACGGTAAAGGAATGTATTTTCCTACAAATAGAAGAATGGTATATTCTTGAAAGTTTTAAGAATTTGAAATCTGGGCCGTCTATTGGACAGTCATTGTTCTACAATCTAGACCGTGCATTTAAAACTTTCTGGACCGTTCCTTTATATACAATCTGAGCCGTACACTGCATAAAATCTTTGGCTGTCATATTAATTAAATCGAAGCCGTCGATCTGACATGATCTCAACCGTCCCATATTTAACTGACACACACGTGGCTAATGTGATTCGTTTAACATGGGCCGATCTTTGTAATATGAACTTGTAAAGTTTTAGCAACGTGGAATGGCGATTTTTGGGAACTTAGTGATCCTCATTTGAAGGGTTGGAGAGAGATTATAGAAACGAGAAGAAAGTCTCAAACACGGATAGATAAGGACTAAGCAATGCCGTCGTGTGCTGGCTCGAGCTATAAATATGAGCCCAAATCAAACCACTTCTAACAAGCTTACTCTAGCAGATCATGAAGAACAAGGCTTTCTTCATGTTGTTTTTGGCACTCGCCATGTTTGTGATGATGCTGGCCATGGGCGTGGACGTGGGAGGAATCGCAAAGGCTGCTGCCCAGCGCTGCCAGTCGGGGTGGTATTGGTATGACAACGGTTGCCACCGTTGCCAGAGGGGTTGGAGCTGGCGCAACTGAAACCTCCAGTTTCACGGGGTAAGAAATTTGCCTTTGATGTCATCATTCTGCAGTGCCAAGCTCAATCAAGACACTGATGACGTGTTTTCTGTATCGTGGGATGCTGCATGGCATTGCATGAGTTCCAGCAATAAAATATAAATTGTCCAAGCCTTGATATAAAATGTCTGCATCTGTCCTTGGTCCCTCTCCTCTCTTCTCCAAATCCCTGACTTCCAATCGATTGCTCCAATGATCGGCAAGCAATAAGACTCGATTGGAGCATCAAACCAGGCCCAGGCACACCTAGCGGTGGGAGTGAAGGTCGGGGGGAGCTGCGGAGGATGGTAGTGGGATGGATTTCGCTGCGTGCAATGCAATTAGTACGGGTGTGACAACAGCTGCCATCGAGGGTGGCGCTGGAATGGCAGCCGCTGCTTCCGCTGAAGAATTGCCAAAGCTCGGGCCTCAAAGAACCAGGAACGAATCTCGAATCATGAAAAGTGATATATATATAGAATAAGAGTATGTTTTGGAGTCTATTCACGTGTTTGGTGCCATGAGACTGTCAATGATAAAATGGTGCGTTTTCTGCAAAGTTGTTGCTGCAGTGTAACGTTAGGAACTTTTTCATATAATCTGGACTCAAATTTATATAAACTGTGAAAAAACTAAAAATGTTGTCTTTACTGATCTGGAATCACAGCTTCACTTCGTGTGTTGTTCTATGTCCCAGCATTACAGAAAAGAAAAGGAATTGACAAACATGGAACGACTTCCTCAGCTAACTTTTAAAGGACAAAAAGATGCCGTCCCAAGAGGCTAGCATTGTATGCTGCCTCGAGCTATAAATACGAGCGGCCTTACAGATCAAATCACTTCTCTCGAATATACTATACCACGAGGGCATCGGTGGCAAGGAGCGCCTTTGCAACATGGTGAGAACCGAAACAACACCAAGCAAGCCTATGAAACTATGGCGGCTCTGTGATCGTAAGTTTCCTCTCAGGGATTGTTTTGCAACGTTTGGCTTGTTCTTTGAAAGCGCATTTAAATAGGAGCGATATGAAGAAAAAGTGGCATTGAAAAATCCAGGAAAACACCCGTACTACCACGCAGACGTACTGATTCAAGCCTCTAGAACACAGCAGTCAGTGCTGCCCGGTCCTGCTGGTCGGGCAGTAGTTCCCCCGGCTCACCACGGGTGGCCGATCTAGAGCAGCGCGCATTGTCGCTCGACGACGACTACGCGCAACTTCTCACAGCTTGCATCGAATTGCGTCAAGGCGCCACGCGCTCATCCTTGGGAGCACCCACCACTAATCCAGCAGGTACCTCGCAAATCTTCTCATCCAACTCTATGGAAGGTGCTAGCGCGCGGATCGAGCATTGGCAGGTGTTTATCAGCATCCACGAGCCCAACAGATTCTCCTGGAACGTGCTGCTTGGCGCTTATGCCCAAAGTGGGTATCTTGGGGAAGCAAAAGAGCCGTTTGATCAGATGCCACAAAGGGATGTTTCTGCATGGATGATTTTTATGACGGCTTGTGAAAACAGTGGAAACTTGGAGGAATGTC